CCTTCTTCAACGCGTCCGAAGAGCTAGGTGCTTCTGGTCGGTCCTCTTCCGGATGTTGTGCATTTTGAAATTCCTCCGCCAGAGGGTTGCGATTGCGATCAGGATACTCTGCGCCAGCCGTTGATGTTGCACCTTGCACAAAGCGGTAGTAGCCGGCGTGGAGCTCGAGCGATCTGAGCCAACAGCGGACTCCGCACATGAGTTCATGTGGAGAAATTTTCACGCGTTTGGAGTCGGCCAAGTCGTGCTTGTTGAGTTTCGCAAGGCTTTGAACCATGCGCATCGTCGGCAAGGCAGACCGGAGGATGTCATTCTTGGCAAATAGAATTTTCATCAGGAACCATTTGCAAGTCTTGTTTTTCGCGGACTTGCGCTTTTCTATCCAAAGTTTGATGGCGTTCAGGATTGTTCGAAGAAGACCAAGAGCGACCCCATCGCAGTACACAAAGGAAGGGCAATGATAAGGGCCTTGGAACATGAAGTCATGAGTGGCCTGCCACAATCCAAAGGAGAGACTACAATTGATATCTTCGTCTTGTGGGCTGCTATCAGGCATGATGGAGAAAGAGATGCGCTTGAAGAATGCTTGCGGTGTCATTTTCATGCACCATTCCACTGCCTCATATTGCCCAAGCATTTTGAGCTGGAAGCGGTACTGCCGCAAGTGGATCATGCCGACTCCAGTCATCACATCATCTCGCTCGCCCTGGGTCCATGTACAAAGCTTTGATCTGCTGAGCATGTGGCTGGCTGATTGCTGTGGATCAGCCCATGGTGTTGGCAAAGCTGTGATGATTTCATCGGTGCTCGCTGACACCCTTTTGTGGCTGAGGATACATGCCCTGACGCCTTTGAAGGTCGCTTCCACCATGTACACGGCATTCTTCTTGATGCAGTCGGGAGCGAATTTGGACCGAAGCACCAAATCCTGGAAAGAGGGACAACAAAACACTGGCAAAAAAGATTGGCAAGGTTGCCCTAGCATCATGACCGAAACATATTGTCAAAAAAATCAAAGCTGGCCCCCATGCATCGCCAAGGCGCATTGGTCAACTCACTCATGAAGGATTTGCGGGCAGAGGCTGAACCGGCAGCCATGACTGCTTTATCTGTGCCGATGGTGTGGCACGAGGGCTTCAAGTTAAGTTCGAGCGGAACCTGTGGAGCGGCTGCATCCATGGGTTTTTTCAGCTCCAGCTCTGCCATGTGTTCCAGAACCGCGGCCCGCACGACCTTTTGCTCATTGTTAAGCATAGGCCGCCCAAAATGCGTGGCTGCTGCAGCAAGATACTCCGCAAGCGTGTTGTGAGTGGTGGACTTGACAAACGCTGCTGCGGCTTCTTCGAAGCTATGAGAATCCTGCTCAGCTTGCTGCTGCTCCGGCTGGCTTGTGTGTTTTGCTCTTCTGGCCTTCTTCCTGGCACTCTTTTCGTCTAGAATGTCAGAAAGGTCATCTTGAGGCTCAGGCTCAAGAATGGTGGCCAAAACGTCCAAGCCAGGAGGAGGCGGGTCAGAACCCAAGCGGCTTGTGTGATGCTCGAGCCACGTCAAGTTGCTGTGGGTGAGGAGGAGGAAGGGTTCCGGGTGTAACCCATTTTTTAAGCACAAGGCTTTGGCGGCCTCAATGTGTGGGAGTGGAGCCATACCAGAGATGGAGAAATCATAGCGCATGGCCAGCTCGCGGTGAGTGCGCTTGTCTGCCACCATAGCGTCCAGGAGATTGTGCATGGTCTTCTCAATGGTCGCCTCATCGCTGAAGCCATCAAATAGATCCGGTGGGAAGGTTGCCTTGGCGAATTCCTGGATCGTCTCCGCAGACATCACCTTGTCGCAAAAAGCTTCAGCCGGGTCCCTATCCGATTTCAAGGCAGCGGCAACGGTGGCATCCGGCAGGCTGAAACCAAAGTCCGCGTCTTGCACAATGTGTTCGTCATGCGGAGTGGACAGCTGGGAATTTGGAAGGTCTTGTGTTCCTGGGGATCTTTCAGCTTCAAGATGCAGTGGACCCGCTTGAGAGGGCTGAGTTGCTGGCACTTCTTTCTGCGTAGCCACATGAACCGCAGGGGCACAAATGCACCGGCAGGACGGACATGTGACACTAGCCTCCCAATTTCGTAGCTTGCACAACCTGCGGCAACAATCCTGATGCATCATGTGTCCACATTCTAAGTCCAGCCGGATCTCACCCTCCGCAAACTCTAGGGTGCACACTGCGCACGCCATAGCTGGAGAGAATGTTCAACTAAGGAGCGGCGCCAAAGTACAAATCCGTAGTTCATATTGTCATGTGGTAGCGTATCTGCTCATGGATATTGAAACATGCTTTGACTCATGGACTACCATGTCACCATGTCTATAGATTCCAGGACCTAAACTTTCTGAGCCAGGAGCAGTGCACCATTATTGACTCAACTGAGTTCGTGATGAGGGGCTGGGCCGTGCCCTGTCCCCGACGCTGGGCCGTGCCCTGTACTGCCTGCTGGGCCGTGCCCTGCTGGCGAATGGCATCCATGCTCGCGTTACGCGCAGGCGCCGAAAGGGAGGGTACCCGCATTGAGAGGGAAAAGGAAAGAGATGCGTCGGATAAACAAAGGGAGGCTACGGGAGCGGATAGGAAGACTCTTATTGCGGAATGTCGTGATGAGGGGCTGGGCCGTGCCCTGTCCCCGACGCTGGGCCGTGCCCTGTACTGCCTGCTGGGCCGTGCCCTGCTGGCGAATGGCATCCATGCTCGCGTTACGCGCAGGCGCCGAAAGGGAGGGTACCGGCATTGAGAGGGAAAAGGGAAGAGATGCGTCGGATAAACAAAGGGAGGCTACGGGAGCGGATAGGAAGACTCTTATTGCGGAATGTCAAGCTATGAGCGCGTCCACCAGGGACCATCACATGGCTGTCTGGTAGCATGAAACTAAGGCGCGGTGCCTGAACGATCATCTTCACAACATTATTCCTGTACTCTGGCGCAAGATCAGGCTTGAGCAACACGCGGCACGGATGAACGTACTTGAATGTACAATATACCAGGTACCAATCTTCTTTTCTGCTGCTTCTTGCAAAGTTTTCATCAATCGATCGATATTTGTCTTTCCCACCTGTGCCTGTGCCTCATGCATCAACTGGCTGGCAACCAAACTGCCTTGGGAGCGTGGGATGAGCCGACGTGGGCCCCAAATGTTGCAAAGAAGCAAACGATGCAAGCAAGCGCACATCCTCAGGAGCTGCTCTTTCTGCGGCACCTGACATGCGAAACCCACAAACACAGCCAACAGCTTCTTGCAAGAGTGTGGTCAAGAAATGATGCTCAGAACAGAACGGGGCCTAGCGATGGGTCCTGACCAGGCACTGAGTCTGCAGCTGGATCCTCAGGGAGCAAAAGAATGAGTGTCATTCTGCAACTACGTTTACGCAGCGTTTACAGAACAGTGACCAGAACACAGCACTCAAGTGCGTACGGTACGTCAAATCCAGCAGTGAAGCAGTGAAAAATCCAACAGCTGGCAACGACCCTCTGCCCAAGTCTGATGTGGTTCGCTGGAAATTGGGGAATGTACACTGCCAGTCACCTAGAGGCTGTTCTGACATGCCAGGTCGCATGTTCAGCTGGAACACAGTGATTGATGACTGGAACACCTTCCTCCAAAGCTCTGCCACTTTGAAAGCATTGACGGACATGGCTTTCACACACTGAAAATGAATAAGCGTTGACTAGGAAAGGTGTGTCTAGACGTTTAGAAATTGCATGGTTGAATTTGCTTGCTGAAAAGGAAAGGCGACTTTGCTTGCTGAAAAGGAAAGGCGACTTTGCTTGCTGAAAGTGAATGTCTGGCTGTGTGGCCTAGTGACAGAGGCCAACCACTTGCTGTGAGCCTATATACGTATAGTCCTTGGGAAAATCGACTTGGAATTGGCAGGTTGAAACTAACATGCCACTTTCAGCAAACTCAAAAAAAATCGAAAAATGGAAACTAGGAAATATGTGGTAAATATATCATCCAGATTGTTGAGAGAAATTGTCTTGATAATATAATGTTTCTTTTTATGGTTCTTTAGAGAGGTATCACTGTTCTGAAGTAACTGTTATTGTTCAGGAATACCTGTGGTGGTGTCGTCGTACCCTCTTTATTCAGGGGTCATCGGATCTGGCCAACGCTGGTCAAGTAGCTTGTCACGTCCACCGACGAAAAAAGAACACAAAGACAGGCAAGCATGTGTGTATGTCTGTATGCGCGAAAAGAATCCGTGCGAACCGGTGCGAACCGGTGCGAACCGGTGCGAACCGGTGCGAACCGGTGCGCATCAAATACCGGACGCGCGCGATGTTACAATGCAGTATCCATCATCAATTTATCATCACTGAGTCCGGAACCCCAGATGGTGCAGGTCCCTGTCACCGGCACAATGGTGGTTTCCATCCGGAACTGCGAGCCGCAACATCTCCGTTCAGCGAAGAAGAAGCGGAGGTCAACGGCTTCTCCTCGGCGAAACGACGCCGCTGTTGGGACTTCGTCGATCAAGTTTCAATGGGGGCTACAATATCTTATAATACACATAGAAAAAAAAATGTCTATCTATCTATCTACTACCTACCTATCTACCTACCTATCTACCTATCTACCTATCTACCTATCTACCTATCTACCTATCTACCTATCTACCTATCTACCTATCTATCTACCTATCTACCTATCTACCTGTCTACCTAGAAAACCTATCTACCTATCTACCTATCTATCTATCTACCTATCTACCTATCTACCTAGCTACCTACCTATCTTATCTTATCGCATCTTATCTAATCTAACCTAATCTAATCTAATCTAATCTCTCTATCTATCTATCTATCTATCAATCTATCTATCTATCTTATCTTATCTTATCTTATCTTATCTTATCTATCTATCTATCTATCTTACTTATCTATCTATCTATCTATCTAATCTAATCTAATCTAATCTAATCTATCTATCTATCTATGTCATGCGTGTCAATATATGTACATATGAATTTCATGTGTACCTGTATTAGCGATATGTGTGCCAACAGTTCTGGACCCATTGCCGTTTATGCTTTGTGCAAACAGTTCTGGACCAGCTGTTTGTGTCTTTAGGAGTCATCTCAGCGTTTACTTCGGAGATACCTAATAGAACAGCCCTGCCACGTGTTTGGTTTAATTACAGGTTTCTTGCGCTGTTTTGAGGCTTTATGCCGGCACTTCCGATTAATGATAGCCAAACCCAGTTGAATTGCGGTACCAGCAACCAATCATTCTTGCGAATTTTGGCCACTGCTCAAATCCAGTATCCCGTCGCAAGGTTGTCTCACTACTCAACTAATGTGTGGGGGTTCCCAACTTCTTCGAAAACGTTTTCACGAGCAGTTTTCCATGCATGTTTTGCATCAACATCAATCACCCTTGGTCAACAAATATATGTTTCCTATGCTTTTTGAAAATTGTATATATATATATATATATTGTGAACAAATTGATCCTTGTTCTGGATATCCTTCGGTTGTAGTTCCCTATGTGCTGATAGTCAGAGCTGTCAAACCATGCAGCAGCGGAGCGCGTTATTTTGGCCTCGCAGTGGGTCTTGAGCCAAAATGGCGTCCCATGCAAGAATGTGCACATGCTCAGCATGTGTGACTACTGTGTTATCTCGTTCCCCTTCGCACCCCCCATGCCTATGGCATCTTCGAACCATAGGCACGAGAGTGGGAACTTTGAATTAGATTCTTCTGCTACTCGAATTACGCCTATGTACATAAAACATGCCATTTGGCTCCCCCTTCCCCACATACCCGTCGGGAATAATGGTTCAGGGTTCGCCTACTCTTTGGCTGTCGATGCATCGGCGCTTCCTCAAGCTGTACAACGCGAATTATTGCTAGCTAACATCTACTTTTCTACGTTGGCTAAGCATGCCACTCACCCGTCGGGAGAAATGGATCGCCTCGCTACCAAAGATTTACAATGCTAACTAACGAATTCACGTGCACAATGCAGAATCTCGTGCAGATTGGGAATATCAAAAGTCTTGAACCTAAGCGAATTAGTCTAATGCCTCGCTCAGTGTCCACTCAGTTGGTCTTTTCCTGATCATCTGTTCATAAAGACGGTAAACATCTTGTAGCCCAGTGATCGTTTTGACGGATCGAAGCAATTGGTTTACTGCTCACGGCGGACTTTCTTCCATTGAGGTGCTGTTGGAGTTCTCTCCCATCCTGCCGCACGTTTCGGAGCAGCTTTCGGCGATGAAGGCTTTGCAGGCGGTGCCTTTGATGGTTCATGGGATTTCGGCATAGCCTTGCCCTTTGGTGCGCTAGCCGATGAGGATGATGCTGAACCAGTGCCTTCAGGTGTCTGTGAAGGTTGTGCGGGTGGTTTAGCAAACTTGGAAGCTGCAGTATGTCCAACCGCTTTGAATACTTCACTCGCCACTTCGTCGCCAAGGGTTGGAGCCATCTTCGTTTTCATCTCGGTCTTCCCCCTCTGCGCCTCGGCCTCGGCCAGCTGAATAGCATAAGCCATCTTGCTGACAAAGTTTTGAGGTAAAGGAATGCCACATTGTTGGGCGGCAAAGAGCAGTTCTACTCTCTGTTCTTTCTCCCTCAGGCTCAGATATACCGAGAAAGCTGGGAGTTCGATGCAGTTGGGGAAGCCGTGGCTCCCGGAGCGAAAGAAGGTGTATGACTCGTGCTCCGGAAAGGTTCCTTTGAGCAGTCGTCGAAGGAAATTGCTGATGGTTACTCGCATCTCCTGTTTCCCTTGGGCATCAGCCTGCATTCGGTTCATTGGCATGAGAAAGCCTAATGACTCAGGAGTGTACCCGGCGCGTACCAGAAATTCCATCATCTTCTCATAGATCTCTAAAGTCTTGATGACAGGCATCATCATGTTTCTTGGTCGCCCTGAGTATAACTTCTCTCCTTCTGACCATGAATTCCTCTTCCCTTTCTCCTGAAAGAGTTCATCCAACTCCAGCTCCGTCGGGCGCTTGAGGTTGCCATCCTGGTCTTCTCCTGTATAAGGACAGAAGTCGTCCAGGTCCAGCCGGACTCGCTTGGTTTCCGTCATCATCTCATAGTACTCCTCTGGGGTCAGAGTGACTCTCTGTTTGTAGTAGAGCCTGAACATTGTGATGATCTTTGACATGACGGCATTGTCATACAAGTGAGCCGCGGCCTCGGAGACATCATTGTTGATAAGTCCGTCTTCTGGCATACCCTTGCTGCCGCTCTCGAGGTTCTTGGTCCATGCTGGAAGTTTGGAAGAGGGTTCATCTTCAGGTTCGACTTCCATTTCATCGTCGTCTTCTTCAACGATTTCGTCGTCTTCCTGTTGGGCTTCCTCCTCCTGATCCATTTCCTCATCATCGCCTTCGTTGTAGTCGACCTCGTCAGGATTGAAGCCATAGTCGTTGGATTCGGATACGTTTTCTTGTGCTTGATGGACCGTATCCTTGAACAACGATTCTTCTTGTCGACGAACTTCTTCATCGATCTCTTTCTTCGTGGCCTCATCTTCATCGTCTTCAGGAGCTTGTAGCCGATAGGGACGGATTCCACAACTTTCAAGTTCCGTCCAGCAAACTAGACACACTGCTAGTTTTGTCGGCGTCTCATTGAGACAGTGAGGACAATGGCGGCAACCTGATGTTTGCACCCTTTTGCGTTCGACTATGTAGTCAATCAGCTTGATGCGGGCCAGGTATTGCTCTTGTCCGCCAGGCTCGATGAGGTTGTTCTTGAATTGGTTGACGATGTTCATGGCATCCATGGCGGTTTCGTCAAACGGTTGATCTTCGGCGTCGATGCACTGACTTGCAACCCTCAAGATGGACTCCTTGGTGGCTACCGTTCTTGATTTGATAGTTCCAGACCGGACTACCTGGTCGTCGCCCGACGGGACGAACAACCGGAGCCATGTCTTATTGTTTTGGTCCTTTGGGTCCTGAATCCATCCTCCTTTGATTGCCGAGAACGGGATGATCTTTGGTGAGACGATCTGTCCCGAGTCAGTCAGTCGACCGCCATATTCCACCATCAAGGTCTCGGTCGGGACGAACAAGCAAATGTAGTCCCCTCTTCGCGTATCAACGCTCTTCGTGATGGTCCATGATCTGTGATCCCATGGCACATACGGGTTGAAGAACGTGAACATCCGATGACCTTCTCCAAGACCTCCTGGAATTAATCCCTGCCTCCAAATGCTTCGAAGGTTGGTCTTCTTGGTGATGTGGAAACAAACCGGTAACGACAAAATGGTGTTGGGCGCGATTGGATGTGAAAGTAATGAGGACAGCAATGAGACGTCGTCCCTTGAAGATCCTTCTTTGTGCCCCGTAGGAGCACGGACCGCCACAGGGTAGAGCAGTAGACCTTCATCAGGAATGTTCGTGTCCGCATCGACTTTGTTGTCAATGCACGTCAGGCTGGTGCGCTCAATGTCCTTGTTGATACCAAATGCCAAGACTTGTTCACGAACGCGACGTCCATACCGGGCACAGTGGAACATGATCTTGAAGAGCAATGTCATGCGGTAGTTTGCCTCATCGACATTCCATGCATTCTGATCATTTGCTCTTCCTTTTGGAGCAAGGAATACATGTGGCCAGCGTGCGTACTCGTGCCTCCAGATGGACTCACATTTGAGCACCTCCTCGATGGGCACCCAGCCGGCGTCATCACATGACAGACTCTGTTGTTCTGATACCTTCCCCACGTTGTGCCGCAGGATCCTGTTTAGTGATGAACTCACCTTGTCCTCGTAGGTATTGAGCCGGTTGCCAGTCTCGAAGCGGTAGTTGGCCGCATATTCTACACCTCCAAAGTAAGAGCAGTTGAAGAAATGGGCCCCCGTAGTCGGGATGATTTTCAAGAAACCATCTTGCGGCGCCTCGACTCTCTTGTAGAAGGGCTTCCTGATGTTGTTATCAGAGTAGCTTGCCATGAAGTCTGGCACTGACCAAGAGTCACCTCCTCCTCTGACAATAGCGTCTCTGACCACTTCGTTGAGGTCAACAATGTTCTGTGGTCCTAGCTTTGTAACATCACGTCCTTCTATGCAGAATCTACCATACTCATCGAGGTCACCAACTTCAGACATAGTTCTGATGCTGTCGTACCATTGGTGTTCACTAAACCTCGATTTTGTAGGTTCATCCGTTTGCCCCGACCCATCAGTAGCACCTGAACCGTCCTTCTTGTGCTCAGGAGGCTCCATATCGACGTCATCAGATGTTGGACTATCAGCCTCGAGCGACGCTCGGACGGCCTTTAGCACCTTTCTGACTTCATCCCTCTTCTCATGTTCACATTCAAGATGGCCATGTTGGGTGCTACCACAATACAAGCACACGTTGACATCCTCAGAGACGGTAAAGAGTTTTCCCAACGCATCCAAAAGTTGTTGTTTCCCGGAATTCTCTGAGTCCCTGACCACATCGGTGGGGTCGTTCGCTGGCTCATCAGCTT